GCAGTACCAGAAGACTACCCTGGACCCCCACTAAAGTAACTGGTGGCAGGAATGGTGTTCTCCTAAAAGGCTTGTTCATACTCTTGAGGGAAGTTGACCTTGAGGGCCCTGGCCATCTCCAACATCAGAGGATCCATAAACCTCTGCCTTCTGAACTCATGAGACATGGAGGTAGCTTTATATGCATCAAACTCCTCACTTAGATTTGTCACCTGCTGACCCAACTCGATAATCTGCTCACTCAAAGAGGCGAGGTTGGAACTAGAGCCACCCTCAGCTGCCTCCTTCTCTAGACCTTCTTCCATCACCCTTTTTCCTCTCTTCCTCTCTCGGTTGGATTTGGAGGTGGTATAGCACTGACTCGTGGTAGGGTCCAAGAGAGTGTCAGATTTGCATGTTGGTATCCCGTGTGCTACACACATATCCGTGATCAAATATGGGAATACCAAGAGAGTCCCGATATTGACACAATACCCAATCTGGTCCAGGGTGATGATAAGGATGTCAACCGGCTGCTGGGTCATTAGGAGATGTAATAGAAGTGTGCCCTCTTCAGAAACACCGAAAATGTGAGCTGCTAGCATCACATTGTATCTCATGAAGTTCAGCTAAATCCTGGCTTCATCATTCATGTGCTTGTGCTCGAAAACTTTCCGCCTACTTTCGCTTATAGTCCAACCAGCTCCCCCTATCCCGATGGTTTGGAAAACCTCTTCCTAGGAAACTTTCTCACGTCCGGGCTTCTAATGCTGGTACTCATAGATAGGGACGTCAGGAAGCATGTAAAACTCCTCAATAGCATATTTACCAAGTGTATATGTAAAAATTGAGGCAAACTCAATGATTTCAAATAATGCTCAGTGAGTTTGAGGTGTATGAAGTGCTATACACTCTCAAAGTATATGCAGAAAGCAAAGCTATGCAAAAAAAGTAAGTATGGACACTTAAAAAAAATTTCAGTGCAAAACCAGCTCAGGTCAAGACTTGAAGTATCCAGGTCACGACTTTAGGTCACAGAGAACAACCTTGAAAGGAAAAGGAACTGAAGTTGCGACGTGAAAGAGTTCAGGTCGCAACAAGCCATAAGTTAGGTCACGACTTAAGCAATGAGGTCGCAACTTCACTTCACATAGAGCTACTTTCGTAAAACCCTTGAAAAATTCATTGAGTTTTTTATCCAGATGCTCAAAAAACTATGCACAGAATTCAAAATTTCAAGCAATTGGCCAAAACACTTAGGATCAAATCAGAACAAAATACAAAATGCTATGTAAGAATGCAAATGCTAAAGTATAGAAAAGTAAGATATTTGTTTTTATTTGCAAAAAATTTTATGCTATGAAATGCGAAAGCTAAGTTCAAAAACTAAAACTCAACGAGAATCGACCTAAATCACAATGGTATGAAAAACCAATTACTAGGGAACCAATTTCTTGGCTCCCTGGCAACAGCGCCATTGATCAGACCAAAATGTTGCCTTCTGGGTTATCAAAAATTGTGATTACACCAGATAATGTAGTATAGGGTGCAACCAATCGTTCTTCTCGAGGAGTGCTTTATTAGAAAAAAGCCTAGTTCAGATTGGTAATAAAAAACATGACGATTTGGGTAAAGAAAAGGGGGTTCAAACTGTTTAAGATGGTGCAATAAATAAAAAGTGCAGAGAATTAAATGTTTTTGGTATTTTAATTGAATAAAGAAATGTTTTGGATTAAAAAGGAATTATGGTGAAACAGTCTCTTGATGATGGAAACTCAGCTATCACTGCTTTTTAAAATAATTGGGAGTTTTAGAAAATTTCTAAGTCTGAAGAAAACCCCAAGTAATTACTTGGGTCCAATATCTTAATTAACGAAAACTTACTTTTAATCAAAGTTAATTAACATCTCTTAAAACATTGTTAGAAACCACTTAGAGTGTAGATGAACAGATGATGCAAATGTCCTTAGAAAGTCAATTGACAATCATTGAATATCGTCAATCGACAATCATTGAATGCCAAACATACAAATTAATCACCAATGATCACTGATAATTAAATGAACACAAGAATTCAAAACCAATATATATATATATATATATAAATGATCCAACATTAATAGCATCCAATCCAAATACATTCAATAGTCTAAACAAAAGACTTACAATCATAATCTAGTTTGAAACAGATGCAGAAATCCCTAAATCTAAAAATCTCTAACACAGAATCAAACACAAATTTAGACTGATAACTCCCCTATTAGATCCTTGAGCTCAAGCTTCGTCCTCCATCACCAAGAGGCTAAGGGTTTAGCCTCTCATGTCTTTAAACCGATCGCAATTGCTCCAGGAATGAATAGCCATGGTTGATGCTAAAAATGAGGTTGGAAAGATAAAGAAGAAGGGGATTGAAGTGGCTTAATCGGTTCATAAATGCAGAAAATGATGAAGAGATGAAGAAAATTGGAGGTTTTGGGTGTAAGATCAATGGAGGTTAGAGAGAGAATGGAGGAGGCTTCTATCCTTGCAAATCTGCAAAATGGGAGACTCTCTTTTCATGGTGGCTGCCCCCTAAGTGTAGAAGCTCGGAAACCTATTCCAAAACGCACAGCTTCACTTAACGCACTCAGGTCACCACCTCAGTAGTGTCAAGTCGCAACTTAGGGGGCCCAGGTCACAACCTCATAAGTTTCATGTCGAGACCTGGGAAGACAGAGAGCTTTTACCTTGACTTAGGTCCAAAACGCATAGTTTCATTGAAAGGTCATCCAGGTCATGACCTCAGCAGTTCATGTCGGGACCTGGGGAGGTAGAACACTCCAAACTCTTGTATTTTGGTCCTTGTAACTTCGTGGCTCCATCAATGCTCCATCTTAGGTCTTGGATCCTTCTTCAATTGCCTGAAAATCACAACAAAGAGCTTTGTAAAGACTAACTGATTACAAATCAAGGCAATTACAATTAAGGAGAGAAAAATGACCTTTTTTACCTCTTAAACAGCAAAATGCAATGCATGACTCAATGTAATCAAATGGATATAAATGCATGCATAATGAAGGTAAAAGTGTTGCAAAACATTAAAAAACACTTGAAAAAACCATATAAAGATTGCATTCTGTCATAAAGTAAACATAAATTTGGCCAATAACAAAAGTAAAAAGGAAAAGACATAATAAAAATATTATTTCGATATGTGAAAATGGACCTGCAGTCTGAACACATGAAATATAAAGTTTCTATAGAATATATGGGCGTTTATATGAAAATAAAGATTTTCAGAAATAATTATGATGAGACATATTACGTTGTGGTGGATATAATTTTACATATTTGAATAGTCTAACAGTTATGAAATGTACCTGTTAGATATTATTATGACCCATGGATGAGGTTCATTAAACAGTGAAATTTATATGATAATCCTTGAAGGATCCAAAATATGCCAGGAGCATATATAAGAAAATCTTTCAGTATACGAAATATTATGAAGATTAAAATAATTTCGGTATGTATTATCTATTTTATAGTTCTGGATCAAAATATATAAAATTCCCTGAAGGATTTCACTTGCCAGAAGCATACAATTCTAGTTCTTGAGAATAATACTTAATTAAGTTAAATAAGTTGCTAGAAGCACTCAGGGTGTATGTAAATATTGGTTGAAAAAATGATATAAAAATAATCTAATTCGCCCATGTATTTTTATGAAAAACTTTTTAAAATGAGTTTGTTATAATTTTTGTTTGTATTGATGATATAAATATCATCAGAACTCCTGAAGAGCTCATAAAAGCTATAAATTGTTTATGAGAAAGAATTTGAAAAGAAGGACTTGGGAAGAACAAAGTTTTGCCTCGGATTGCAAATCGAATACTTGAGAAATGAAGATTTTTGTATATCAAATAATTGATACAAGAAAGATCTTAAAGTGTTTTTATATAGATAAGTCACATCCATTATATACTTTAATGGTTGTGAGATTTGTGGAAGTGAATAAAGAACCTTTTAGATTTCAAGAATGTGATGAAGAACTACTTGGTCTAGAAGTACCAAATCATAAGTCAAAAAGTACCATATCATATCTTATCAGTCACCCATGACTTGACATATCATTTGCTATTAACATATTAGTAAAACATAGATTTTTACCAAAGACATTGGAATAGAATTCTAGATTCTTTTCTGATCCGCATATTGGTAATTTCAAATGGAGTATTTATCTCATAATATTCAAAAGATGGTGAAATATATATCTAGCAAATCCATTCAAATAAAAATCTAAGAGATTTGTTCACTAAGGTACTTCCTATTACAATATTTCAAAAGCTTGTTCATGATATCGGATATCACAGACTCAGGGATATCAATTGATGTTATCAAAAGGGGGAGTTAATACACGCTGTACTCTTTTTTCCTTTTCTATAGTTTTTCTCACTGGGTATTCATAGCACGATTTTTAATGAGACGGCACCGAATAGTGTATCAATGAATGGGTACTCTTTTTCTTCTACTAGGTTTTTGTCCCACAGGATTTTTCCTAATTGAAGTTTTTTAATGAGGCACATCCTTGTATAATGGATATCCAAGGGAGAGTGTTATGAGTATTATCAAATGTGAATCTCCATCTCCTCTTTCTCTTTAACTTCAACTTCAACTCCCACTACTTCCAGTAAGTATTAATCTTCCACTGTTCCATTACTTCTTCACTATGGCTTTAATCCTGTAACTCACCTTCCATTTACATTCATGTAGTTTATTGTCCACTATTTATAATTTAAGTACAAATATAACTTATATGTAAGACTATATCTATAAACAGAGTATGTCATTATATTGTGACGTAAGTAAAATAAGTAAATAAATATAATATCATTCCCTCGTTTCTTCTTGTATACATCTCTCCTCTAATGTATTTTCTTTGTTAGCTAATTCCACAACACAAATATGATTTTCCTGTGAAGAGACGTGAATCAGACATCTCTTTTTGTGTGACTGAATTCAATCGAAGAGCCTTATTCATCTCTCTCTCTCTCTCTCTCTCTCTCTCTCTGGTGCCTGTTGCTCAGTTGCTCAAGTCGCTTCCCCTTAACCTCTCTTGCCCTCCTTAGCTTTCTTGCTCTGTAATTTCCTTCGCTTCTTGCTCTCTTTTTGGTTCTCCTTCACTGTGTTTCGAATCTTGTATTTCTTTAGACGACTGAAAGTTTCTTCTTTTAACCTGTTTGTTTTACCGCTTCCTCATAAATTCTCAATTTGCGATTTAAAATCGTCACTGAATTGTCTTGAACACATTTTTCTTGGCATTTAGTTGCCGTTGTTAGTTTATTCTGTGATGATTTGTTGCGTCCTGCGCGTTTTTCATATGGGTTTGTTACAGTGGGCAATTCATGTTTGATCTGCTATGGGTTCGATTTCACAAATTTTGGTCAGTATATACCATGTATGCTTCGGGTTCTCAGTGAAGGAAAGCTAGGTCGGTTCAATTTTTGAGGTTTTGGGAAATTCTGAGTCAAGGGATTTTGGAAGTGGGCATGGTGGGTAAGGACGATGCTCGAAAAATGTTCTGGCGGTCGGCCTCTTGGTCGGCGTCTCGCTCCGCCGCACATAATACGGACGGCGGGGTAGATCCGGATGGCAGTGTCGGTAACATCAACGGGGAAGCTCGTAGGTATCCTCCCGCTCCATTAACCCCTCGATCGCAGCAAAATTGCAAGGCTCGGTCGTTTTTGCCGCCGTTACAGCCTCTTTCAATTGCTCGGAGGAGCTTGGATGAGTGGCCGAAAGCGAGTTCCGATGATATCGGCGAGTGGCCTCATCCCCCAACTCCTAGTGGGAGAGGTAATGGAGAGAGGTTGAAGCTTGATTTATCTTCGATTCAGCGAAACCCTGATAAGAATGCTGGGCTTGTGAAAAGAGATAAGATTGCATACTTTGACAAAGAATGCTCAAAAGTGGCTGAACATATTTATCTTGGAGGAGACGCTGTTGCTAGGGATAGGGATATATTGAAGCAAAATGGGATTACTCATATTTTGAACTGTGTGGGCTTTGTTTGTCCCGAGTACTTCAAATCTGATTTTGTATATAGAACGTTGTGGTTGCAAGATAGTCCAACGGAAGATATTACTAGCATCCTGTATGATGTCTTCGACTACTTTGAAGATGTTAGGGAACAAAATGGAAGGGTGTTTGTGCATTGTTGCCAGGGTGTATCTCGGTCCACCTCTCTTGTGATTGCATACCTTATGTGGAGGGAAGGGCAGAGTTTTGAAGATGCTTTCCAGTATGTGAAGGCAGCAAGAGGTATTGCTGATCCAAATATGGGTTTTGCCTGCCAATTACTGCAATGTCAAAAAAGGGTTCATGCATTCCCACTTAGCCCAAGCTCTTTGCTGAGAATGTATAGAATAGCCCCACACTCACCTTATGATCCATTGCATCTTGTCCCCAAAATGTTGACAAATCCTTCTCCATCTGCTCTGGATTCTAGAGGTGCATTTATCGTACATATGCCTTCTGCTATATATGTTTGGATTGGTAACAATTGTGAGGCCATCATGGAAAGGGATGCTAGAGGGGCTGCCTGTCAGATTGTTCGCTATGAGAAAGTGCAAGGTTCAATTTCATTAATCAAGGAAGGTGAAGAACCGGATTACTTTTGGGATAGCTTTTCTAAGTTTTTGCCCTTGATGGAAAAATCTGATAATAGAATGGAAAATGGCAAATCAACCAGAAATATTTCTCCGGGTAATAGGAGGGTGGACTCATATAATGTTGATTTTGAAGTTTTCCAGAAAGCTATCAGGGGAGGTTTTGTGCCTCCATTTGCTTCAGCAGAGGATGAACTTGAAACCCACCTTCCTGCCCGGGAGAGTTGTTGGAGTGTGTTGAGGCGTAAGTTTGCCTCTGCCAGTATGAAGGAATTTGTCTCAGAACCTAAACTATCATATTCAAGGGTTTATTTAGATTCAATGTCAGGTACTCATTCATCCATAAACTCATCCCCATCATCATCACTGTCATCAACTACATCTTCTTCTTCATCCCCTTATCTCTCACCAGATTCCATTTCGTCTGACTCGAGCAATAGTTCAAAATGTTCAGAAACATCTCTTGGTTCTCCTTATGCAGCTTTGATATCTACGCCAGCATCCTCATCTTTATCTAACTTTTCTAACTTGTCCCTCCATTCATCTAGCTGTTCTTCTCAGCCAGTAACAAAAGGTGTAGAAAGTTGTAGTGTCAAATTGGCATCACAGCCCTGTCATCAGTCAGCCTCCCTGCTATTGAAAAAACCTTCAACTTCTCTTGCTGAGCGCAGAGGCGGTCTGTCAAAGTCTTTGAAGTTACCACTGATGAATGACAAAACCCTGGTGATGAATAGATCATCAACCTTTAATGCTACTCGAGAAGAAGATGGTGCTGTCATGAATGGCAACACTAGCCATTTGCATCAACCAGGTAGTATTGAAAATTCAACTGATGTAAACGACCATGTCAAGGGTAGAGGATTGGATTCAACTCAACAGTGCGAGGTGTTATTATGTTCGGGTGCTGCAGATAGTGTTGACCACAACAAAGCTTCATTTGTTGGAAACTGTGGTGACCCTTGGGTGAGAAGCTCTTCCAGAGAAGACATAAAGTCTACTTCATCAAATGGAACGGATAGAAGTGGTCTACTACAATCTAATAATAAACAAAATCTAGTTTATCAATGGCCCAGCTTAGAGAAGAGTGTGACATTCAGTGCAAGTCATTTGGATTCTAAAGCAGCTTTTGTTATTTTCTCTTCGAGTGCAAGTTCTGGTAAACATGCAAGAAACATTTTATATTTTTGGCTGGGAAGTTCTTTCAGCTGTGCTACATCTCAAGTTCGGTTAGATGGTAACAGAGAGATAGATTGTCGAGGAGGAGTTGACTGGAATCAAGTTGGTTGTGATGTCCTTGCTCATTTTGGTTTGCCAAATGACACTATCGTCAAGGTATGGAATATCTTTATCCCTTTTCGTGCTAGCTGCTTTGGTTTGCCTAATGTTTACGTGTCTATGCAATGACCAAGGTGCCTCACACAGGCAACCTGTCAAATATGATATAAATGGAGTAATCTGTTATTGCACTGTATGGTGATAGTTAACTTAAATTGTGCAAATACAGAATTGATTGAATCTCTTTTTCTCTCTTCGGGACTAGAGATTCATTGCCGCTGATTGCATTGCTTGTTTCAGGAGATCTAGAGGGATGCTTCATTATTTGTTTCTTGTAGACATTGATTTCCTGTCTCTGTGTTTGTGCTGATGGTACTAGTACAATAGTTCATCCTTCATACTTAAAAATCCAGAATGTCAGATGTTCGAGACCAAAAGAATAGGTATTCTCTACATAGGACAACCAAGTCGAATCTATATAATGTGGAAACATTGGTAAGTGGAAGAATTCAATTAAAGTATAAGCGAAGATTGGAGCCCTTATATAGTGTTGCTGACCATTGGAAAAAAATGATTGCTTTGAGCTTTGGCTACATAGAATCAAGTTATCACTGGTTAGCATGGAGTCAAAATTTGCTCGTAATTTCATGCTAATCTTACTGTTCTGGGGGGCGGGGTTGGTGTGGCAGATGTTAAAAGTAGCTTCTGTTATTAAACAAGTACACCTCTTTTTAGGCTTTAATCCATGGAAATGATTCTTTTAGAGAAACTTAAGAAGATAGATCATTCAGCAAGTGAGAATGCTGCTGTATGTGTATTGAGGAAAAATTGTTTCTTATAAAACTAGTTAGGGATCAGTGACTATTTTTGGGAGGTGGAATATGAGGTTCTATCTCTTATTCTCTGTTGCTTGATAGGATTGTGAATAACTGAATATTTTTACAATATGTTGAATTTTTAATTCACTTCTAAAATTGTGAAGCCCCATTTCTGCAAAATTTAATCCATTATAATATGCTATTGTGAATATAGGTTCCTTTACATGGTTGAACGAAGGTATTTTCTTTTCCTGATATTCCATTTGAGCTTTTGGTTTCAGTTTTAAACAACGTTTAGAGTTTCTCCTGGTTACTAATTCTGAAGTTCTCAATGATTCTATGTTCTATTGCGAATAATTAATGATAATATTGTGGACACTTCGGTGTGAGGTTTTCATGAAATTTTGAGTATCAAGAGTATCACTATTTTTTTTAAATTCATATGAAAGAATGGGAAAAGAAAAATAATTGAAGAGAAAAATGAGAGAACCTGATTAATATTCCATGCAATTTGATGATCTAAAAAGCATGTAAAAATTTACGGTCCTTCATCAGACCCAAGTGGTTGAATTTTGTGTGCCACCTCTTTTATTTCTGTGCTCCATTCTTTTTACTTTTTACTCTACGTCTTGAGGTCATGACCCCTAGCATCATAACTGAGGCTCCTCTCCTCCATAAGGCACCAGTAGAACATATATACTAGTATTTCTTTTTGAATCATGTAATTGGATTCATAAGTACTCCTGCAGGTTCTTCAAATTCCAAGGTTGTTTTTGATAGATGGGCATTTAATTAATTCATGTGATTGGAAACTCATCAGTAGCTAAAAGTTAACATTTGGATTATGCATACGTCCTAAACAGCATAGGGATGTTGATGTTACTATACCTTTCTCAAGCTCAACTCTTTTAATCAAAAATTGGTTTCCATCTACTTGGAAAATCAAGGTGCCTGGGACAAGTGTTTTCTTTATTCTTAAGCTCCTACGCAGATCATGTAATTTAACTTGAAAGTTGAGATCACAAAATTTCTTCGTTTAATATTTCCTGATCATCAAACCACACCAACCTCAAGCCCACAGTAGGGCATGATGACTTTCACAACCAGCCTCGTTAACAAATTATATCCTACATTTCAGGCTATTAACATTTTAAATTTTTTGTTAGTACACCGGGTGTGTATAGTCTTCTCTTTCCCATATTCAACAGAATGCATAAGTTTGCATACTATATTGAGAGTTGTCCATAATGGGTTCCCAAATGTCTAACTATCATGATGCAAGGTTGGATTGGGTTGGGGACATAGTTTCCCGCAAGTGATTTTCCTATCATCTGAAAGATGTCTTAATAATACAGCTCTCCCTACTATTATGAATAATTGTAACCTTCTCCCTGAAACCCAAAAGGTTTAGCTAGAGCTAATTTCATTTCGACTGAAATACCCTCATCAATGGCATTATTTTTTGTAAAAAATGCAGCTTATCAGTATTCTGGTTATTTGGACCGCTTAAAGATGTTTGGGTTAAAATGGATTTAGTTGTAGTTTCTCTTTTGTTTCCATGGAAGGTGCATGTAATAACGTTGTGTTTTGATGGAGAACAGAGTAATTTAAGATAAGCCTTATGTTCCATTACATATTATTTGGTATGAGGGATTTGGAGGGAGGGGATTTTATCATTTTACCCTCCTCTCTTTATTTGGCTTCCTAAAATTTACCCTTCCTCTCCTCTCCTAACCGTCCCCTCCAAAATTGGGGGTATTTAGAGAAGAGGGGTATATGTTTGCCTTGCTCTGACTAAAATGCCTGTAATTATTTTTAAAATTCCCAAACTATCCCTCTTATATCTTTTCTTAGTTCAGTTTTTGTGTCTCCCATTCCTCATCCTCATCCTTGATTGTCATAACCTTTTAGCCTCTGAAAAGTTCACCTCTATTCGCCACCCTTTGCTGCTGAGTATTCGCCATCCATTCCTAAACTATCTTCCCTATTCTAGACGTGGTAGTTCTTCAATCTTCATTCCGCTTCTTTTCATCAAACTTGAATCAACCACAAAAGCTTTTGATTTTGATCCTCAAAATTGGGGGTGCTAAAACTAGGAAACGAATGAACAATGAGAGGCGAAATTATGGCAGAAGCGAATGGATATGGAAATGTGGTTCCACCTCATGATGAAACTTGTTTCTTTATGAATCCTGATGCTTCAATCTCTTCGTTGCTTGCCCCGACCTATGTGCTCTTTTTTGTTCTCCTCTTTTTTTCTTGCCTTTATTATTTTCTTCTTTCCAATTATATTTTATTATCTGATTAGAAAAATATAATTTTAAATATATATAAGCATAATTATAATTTATTTAATTTTAATAATAATAATTACTCTCTCCGCTTCTTTTTATAAGAGACATTTAGGAGTAGTCTTGTATTTCTTGATTTCCCATTTTACCCCCATTTAATTACTTATTGCTCATATCATTGTATTTAATTCCCACACGTTCTCTCTCCACCTCACATTCTCTCTCTTCCATATAAATGAGGGTGTTTTTGGCAAAAATTTATTTTTTTAACATATTTATTGTCTTCAACTAATTTTAACTAACATTTCAAACTGCGTAATTTGGTTAATTGTCTCTTATAAAAAGTAATGTAGGGAGTATAAAATTGTAATGCATGTTAAAATCCATCCCCTTTCCTCCCTTTTAATCAATCCAAATGAAGTAATATTAAAATCCCTCTACTCCCCTCTTCTCCCTTACCCTTCTCTCCATTGTCACAAGCAGGATTGATCGAATCCACAACTTCCCCACTAATAAGGAAGTTTTCATGCCATTAGGCTGCAAGGCCATTGGCATGTTGGCCTATGTTATTTACAAAACAACAGTCATGGTGATTGCTTCAAAAAGGGGGAAGACTAAATTTGATGTCAATTGATTGAATATGCAGTATTTTATCAATTTTAGTTAGGAATTTTGTTTGTCAAGTCAAGACAATCGGACAAGGTCTGTTCATTATCTTAGTATAATCTGCAGTATCACAGAATCCTCTCTAGTTTCTTATTAAAATTTGATTTCCCATAACTTGCCTGTTTCCCTTCATTGTCCTCTTTTATTTGCCTGTTGCTGGATATTCAATCTAAGAAGGATGCCCAAACATTCTTTGCATCAGCACTTGTTGAACTGTTGCATTTTCTGTTCATGCTCCCCACTCCCTGCGCGGCTGGGTCATATGTTTGAATCAAGTAAATGTGGATTGTAGATTGTTCTGATTTATTAAATTCTTGTCTTGATCATTGACTTCTATGAACAGATTGTTAAAGAGAATGAAGAACCGGAAGAGTTTCTTGCCTTGCTGGGTACATTGGAGCACAGCCAACTTAGGATATCCCGGCTTTCAAGCATCTTCTGAAAGCTTTCTTGCACTTGCACTTTCTCTGTGGACCTACTTTTCAGGCATTAGTTTGTCTAACCTCGGGGGAAAATACCAGTGAGGTAATAAACCACATTTGCTGTTGCATGCCTCATTTAAAATGAATAACTTTTCTAACAATGATTGGCTAATTTGTCTCTGAAAGTATCTTGATACACTTTTAATCTCAGCATTTTTTTTTTGGATAATTTTTTTACATGGTAATATATAATATAATAATTAAATAAACCTAAGGTAGAGGGCATCTTTCATGTCCATTAATCTTTCCAATTTGGTATCTGGTGTCTGGATCCTCTTTGCCGAGATCACTGGGTCTTTTGATTTGATGAAGAGTTTGAGGAAGTTTATTGGCAAATTCTACGATATGCAGATCGCACTTGTGGAAATTAGTTTTGAAATTTCATGTGTGTGAAAGTTTTGTAAATTCAGACTTTTCAATCACTAGATGGATGTCTGCGAAATCACAATAAATCACCAAGAAAAGGCATTATATGATGTTACCCTTTGGCATCTCCTTTGTAGATCTGTCTTAGAAATATGTAATTTTTTTTCAAGCTATTGAAGGCTGTACATGAGTGAATGTTTAAGAAGAACGTTATGCAGATTGTGCCTTCTTCTGTTTCATCTCATCCTTTTGCACCTGGATCATTCTTAAAACTGGTCTTTTGTCATATGTTTGCTTGCAGGATGCTGTGAAAGTCATCGTAGCTCAGCTGATTGTACAGTGCTATAACACTCAATCTAAAATTGTCTCAGACTGAAATTACTTGAACAGTGACCTGTTATGAAAACGCCTTCAGTTTCTATAATGAAAAAAGGAAAAAAGAAAAAAAAAATTAAAGTTCCTCCAGTTACTTCTCAGGTCAAGCATCCCTTCTCTTGATCACATTGTATGTGGAAATTTAGGAAGTTCATTAGGTTGCAGTTGAGTTTCTTAGTTCAGAATTGATGAACTTGCCAAATAAGCTCTTCTCAGATCAAAGACAAACTGGATGGCATCAGAACATGATTAATTCACAAGCAATATATTTGTTCAACATAAAGCTGCTGAAACTAGTCTTAGCAAGAAAATTTTCTGTATGGCTTTTAGAATAAAGAATGCTATTTGGCTACTTTGCATCGTGAATATCAAGATTGATGATGAAAGATTAGTTAAAGTAATTAGAAGCTTAGGAACAAGGGATTTAGAGCATGGTTGATTTCACGCTTGTTTTGGCCTTGTTTTGGTGGTCTTAGATGTGAGAACAGACACATTAATCATGATAAGGGTCACTTGTTGGTAAATGATCTGTGAAATCTTGGGCTGGAATGGGAATATGAAAGCTCTCTTCATGAGTATAAAAGGTTTCCTTTTTCCCCCCTAGAAAATTGCCTTGTCGTTACTAAAATTGATAAAAACATTTTTCTTACCCTTTGTTTCCTCAAATTTTTCTTAAATGTACCGAACACATCTTTGCAGACGTTTTATGCATGAGTTTGAGTAGAGGAGAAACAATGGTTGGAATGTCTGGACTCTCCGGTGGCTAGAATTCGAGTGCCTTTAGATTTCAGTTAATCTGTTTACATGAAGTGTAAGTTACAACAATAGTTAATTGGCAGTATTGTGAAACTGTTGAATGAACTAAGGGTGTGTTTGGATGAAACCAAACCGTGGTTTGAAAAAGTTATTCTGGAGAATAGATTCTGAGAAGAATAGATTCTGGAAAGAATAGATTTTATGAAAAAGTGATTTTGAGAAGTGAGAGTGTTTGGATAGTTGTTATCAGAAGCACTTTTTATATATACAAATTATTAAAAAAAAAAAGTTAATATGATAATTACAGAAAAAATAGATTTTATGATATATTTTAATTTAGAGGAATAAAATTGTTAATAATATATTTTTTTATTAACACAATTAATAATACATAAGATAATATAATTAATAAATAATTAATATGTATATATATTTATAAAATATAAGATTAAATATGTTTATAAAAAAATGTTTATAAAAAAAATAACAAGATACATATCCTATAGGCTCTCACACTCTCTTTTTTTCTTCAAAAGCAAAAAATTTTTGCTTTTCTCAAAACCATGGTTTTGGTTTTCGATTGGATAGCATTTTGTGCAAATCATGGTTTGGGCTTCCAAACCATGGTTTGCAAGTGCATCCAAACGGTGCCTAAGTTGTCTTAAGTCAATGGACTTGTGCCTAAGAAAGCTGTTTCCTTGTCTTTTATAGAACCTTTGTAGTAGTTAATATAAGAGCCCGTTGATTAATTTAAATAGATTAAGAAAATTAATTTAGTTAGTTATTTATAATAAAAATGTGTTATTTTTGTTAAAATATTCTTACTAATCATATATATTAACTAGAGTTACTATTAGAAGGGGGAATATGGGCGGAGGGATGATTTTAAAAGGACTGGTTTTTGTAGGATAAATTTTAAAAGTACTTCAATTTGTTAGGCCTAAGGATTGGTGTGCGGGCTTTCGGCCTGTTTGAAAAATTGCCTATAAAAATAAAATAATAAAGTTATTAATAAAAGATATAAATATGAATAAAATTAAGTCACATATAAAAATATTATCATATCTATCAACACCCAACAACATTTAAAATATCTATCAAGACAATAATATTCAAAAGTTTCAATAGTGCAAATGTGCGAGACAAAAACTAATATTAATTTTTTAAAACTTCATCATCATTATAATCAATTGTTCTTCTTCATGAGTATAGCAAAAATATTCAGTTTTTTTTTCTTTATAAGAATATTATTTTTAAATTTTGCACTTTAGCTATTATTTTACTTTAGTTTGAGAAATATTGTTGTTGAAATTTATAAATTATAGAATTACAAGTTATATAGGTATAATAATACTCTCTTACCAAATTTTGTAAAATCCTCCTTAAACAAAAATTTGGACTCTTGCTAGGACACAAGTAAGCCAAGCCTCGAAGTCTACACAGAATGAAAGGGAAGGGCTCGTGAAACACGATCATCTGAATTTGGTAAGCTGTGGAAATTTACAATATACATAATCTCACGTATAAACACATGATTTCACAGAATTATATAAATATAATAAATATGTCAATACAATTAAGCAACAACCGGCATGTTATTATACTCTAATTCTGCTTTCTTGAACATTAATACAATTTTTATTTTACTCATTAAAGTTATAAAAATAATTAATATTTATTTTGCTGAAGTTGCTTTTTTTGGGCGTAAAATTAAGGATTTTAATTCCTTGTGAGAAATTCAAATATGAATTTAGATTTTCAAAAATCACTCTCCTTTCCCCTTGACTTGAAAGTAAAAAAAAAAAAAAAATTGGTGTTTTCATGCTCTAGCGTGCCAAACTCGTGGATTCTTTAATCAAGCTTTATTCCAACATCACACACACATACACACACACATACATATATATATGTGTGTGTGTGTGTGTGTGTTGCATGCTCATGCTGACTTCATAAAAAACCTGGGAAAAATTGCAAATAAAAACCATCAATATGTGAAATTGCGATTTGGGACCTTGAATTTGGAAAATGGCTTTAGAGACCCGGTCCCAAATTACAAATATGAAATGATAATGAAATATCCAAAATGCTCTTCTGTTTTTTTTATCTTTCTTCCTCTCCAAATCTTCTTCCCTTTCCTTCTTCTTTTTCTTTCTCTTTTCGTCCTTCTCTTTCCTCTGGTTCTATCATAATTATTTAACACACCACGTGTTCCAAGCTTTTGATTGGGAACAAGTATAATGATTGTATTTTGGTGGCCAAATCGATTAAGGTGTGGGATATGAAGAACAAACGAGCTCTAACTACAATGCTAAATGAATAAAGCTCTCGTCTTATATGTAGAATTTGATGGTTTCTTGTTCATATGATACGACAGTGTGCTGTGGGATTTCATGGTTGAGGATGTATTTGTGAGTAGATATGATCATCGTAATGCATTTGCCAATGGTGTTGATATGAGCATGCTTCTTGAGGGGCTTATGACAGTTCTGATACTATAGTTTTATACATTGGGAGGAAATGAGAGGTGGGGTTGATGATGAAAGATGACATGTTCCCATTAGGTTTTTATACTTTCTCTGTTAAAATGACTGAATTTCCACATTAATTTATGAAATAACAAGTTCATAATAGAAAATGATAAGTTAAAATAACAAATTCCCATAAGATTTTCATACATTTTCTGTTGGAGTTACAATTTGCACATTTTTGACAGCAACCACTTCTGATAAACACGAAATGACAAGTCCACAATAGCGAATGACAAGTTAAGTATGGCAAAGGATAAGTTCCCATGACGTTTTCATACTTTTTCTACTGGAATTATAATTTACACATGTCTGACAGCAACCACTTCTGATGAACAGTAAATGACAAGTTCACAATGGCAAACGACAAGTTAAATATGTAAAATGACAAGTTCCCATTAGGTTTTTATACATTTTCATACTTTCTCTGCTTGAATTACAATTTGTATATTTTTGACAGCAACCACTTCTGATAAGCACAAAATGACAAGTCTACAATAGTAAATGACAAGTTAAGTATGGCAAATGACAAGTTTCTATAACGTTTTTATACATTTTCATACTTTTTTTTTGTTGCTAAAATTACAATTTGTATATTTTTTATAGCAACCACTTCTGACAAACACGAAATGATAAGTTCACTCTGGCCAATGGCAAGTTTTCATAAGCTTTTCACACATTTTCATACTTTTCTGCTGGGATTACAATTTGCATATATATGATAGCAACCACCTTTGACAAATAGTAAATGACAAGTCCACAATAGCGAATGACAAGTCAAGTATGTGAAATGACAAGTTTTCATAACGTTTTTATATGATTGTAAATTTCTCTGCTGAAATAACAATGTGCAGATTTTTGACAGCAACCACTTCTGATAAACAATAAATGACAAGTCCACAATAGCTAATGACAAGTTAAGTATGTAAAATAACAAGTTCCCATAACGTTTTCATACAATATTAAATTTCTCTACTGAAATAACAATGTGCATATTTTTGATAGCAACTACTTCTGATCGACAGTAAATGACAAGTCCATAATAGCAAATGACAAGTTAAGTATGTAAAATGACAAGTTCCTATAATGTTTTCATACAATTGTAAATTTATTTGCTAAAATAACAATGTGCAGATTTCTGACAGCAACCACTTCTGATAAACAGTAAATGACAAGTCCATAATAGCGAATGACAAGTTAAGTATGTAAAATGACAAGTTCCCATAACGTTTTCATACAATTGCAAATTTTTCTACTGAAATAACAATGTGCAAATTTCTTATAGCAACCACTTCTGATTAACATCTTTCATCATCAACTTTACCTCTCATTTCCTCACAATGTATAAAACTATAGCATCAGAACTATCATAGACCCCTCAAGAAGCATGCTCATATCAACACTAGCGACAAATACATTACGATGATCATATCTAGTCACAAGTGCATCCTCAACCATGAAATCCCACATGCAAACTGTCATATTGTATGAACAAGAAACCATCAAATTCCATATAGAAGAGGAGAACTTTATTCATTTAGCACTGTATTTAGCGCTTGTTTGTTTTTCACATCCCACACCTTAATGGATTTATCCACCGAAATACAATCATCATATTTGTTCCCAATCACAAGCTTAGAACACATGTGGTGTGTTAAATAATTATGATAGAACAAGAGGAAAGAGAAGGACGAGAGAGAGAGAGAGAGAGGAAAAAAAGAAGGAAAGGGAAGAAGATCTGGAGAGGAAGAAAGAGAAAAAAACAGAAAGGCATTTTGGATAGTTCACTATCATTTCATATTGTGGGACTGGGTCCTCTGAAACCATTTTCCAAATTCAGGTTCCCAAATTGTAATTTCACATGTTGGGGGACTTTATTTGCTATTTTTTCAAAAACCTAAAGAAACATTTATTCGGAATTTGGACAGCATCTCATTTTGTGAAAAATCTCAATCAATTTTCATGAAATCAAATAAAGTTGAAGCATGCGCCTATGCCTTAACACTTGTTCTTGCTTTCTCCTACTTCTTCCTCCGACGTGAGCCCTCCAAACTCCACTTTTGAAATTGAAATTACTTGTCTCCTATAAGGAAAAAATTGAAATCTTAACTACTAAATACTTTTCTTGGTAACTTTAAATTAGATAAAAGTGTCTTATATTTAAAACAGAGATAGTATCTCGTGAATTTATTTTTACAGCGTTACTAAATAAGACAAAACTTTGGTTAAATTTCTTCAAATCATTACATCCATTATTCTAATCAGATTTTGCCACATGTATTATTTTTTTTCCATCAGCATTTGATTCCAAATAGTGATGGA